TAATTTATAATGAGAGAAAGATAAACAGAACCACCTAGTCATTAATCACTAGCCCCATTTCCACAAAATAGGTGAAGGTACTCGTAGCTATAAAGAAGTTTACGAGCTTATCTAAGATTTACGATTCATAGCTAATATAATAATTTCATAACCGTTATGACGCATCGCTGTTATAAAATTCAATAGCTTTTGTACAACACAATATCGACCCCCTTTTTGTTTTAGTTTCGTTAAAGGAGGTGCTTTTATTAAAACCTACATATTACATTTCATAAGACATTATTTTAAACAATAAAAATATGAAAATACAGACAAATAATCTACAAATATCAATCCAATCAAATTAGGTTTTAGACGTCTCAAAGGTCATTATATTACCTATAGTTGTAAGACAGTGTCTTACAACAAAAAAAAACCCGATGACCGAACGAACGACCGACGAACGAAAAGACCGAAGTTAAAAAACTATTTTAAATAAACAACAAAATAAATATTAATGTTGCTATTTTAGAGAATATGAGATAATTCACCAATTGATAGTCAAACCGTACATAAAATCTCTCATATATATTATTAACTACTAAATGTACTCTACCTAATAGCAAAACTTAATAGCACTATATTGGTCCTTCGAGCCGGACGCGAAAAAGTTTCATTTTGAATAAAAGTCAACGCTGACATTAACGAGCTTCATCTAGAGTGCAATAACAACGATTTTGCTAGCTTTTATAATGTCAAGAATAGTCTGGAGGAATTTCATAATATCATATTTTCAAGATAACATGTATAGTAATATAAAGAATTTCCTCGCAAGATACTCGTAATGCTATACTAGTTAATATTAAAGGACTTGCAAATATAATAATTTAATAAAATTATACCCAATAAGTTATTGTTTGAAGTAATTTTATGAACAAAATAAATTGTATACAATTGATAAATATAAATTACGCTATGGTTGAATCTGACAATGGTTTAGCTTAAATTGGGTTTTAAAATATTTATTTATAACATTTTATGATATATTATTATATACTGTTAAGTGTTGTTTAATTCATTACATTTTACAATTTTGAATTCACTCCTTAGGAAATGTAAAAGAAAATTCTCATTATAATCGAATACGCTTAATAGCCTAAAACGCAATCCATACACATTTGAGATAAATTTGAGGCACTTATCCGGGCAGAGTCTGACCGCGTGAGATATTACTCCCTTTACTGCGGCTTGAGACTAATTACTTACGACCTGGAAACGACATTTGACTAATTCCGAAAGTACCTGCAAAAAGATAGAAAACTATTAGTGAATACAAATCAGAAAACTTAGCTAAATAACAGATTAATACAATACACTTTGTTGTTAAGAATTTAATCTCAATCGAAAAAGTATTTTATATGTCGAAACGTTTTAAATATTTATGTTTAACTTTCAGGCAAATAACTATTTTAATATCATAGTTTAATACAAAAATATTTGAGATTTAGCTGTTGAATTCGATATTTTATATTGTAAAACGAGAGTCGATTCCAATTTATATTTCGATGACCAAACAAAGAAAAAACTTTTAATCTCTACATTCTACCACAAAATATCCTACAACGTTTAAAAATGAATTGTCGCTGATGGATAGCCGAATCAGCTGTTTTAAGGACCCGCTAGTTATTTTATACAACAACCTCAACCTATGTTATTCAAGTCGGATGTCACCTAAACGGAAATCAAAAATTACTAAAATCTACAATCTGACATTTCATTTTAGCTGTTTTACATAACCACTAATAAATGCAAAACGTTCACATAATTGTGCGTATTAAAGTTCAGCAATATATAAAAAAAACATTCAGTTATTTTACATAACGGAGCAGTTATGTAAAACAACTAGAGGTTTTGTAAAAGAGCGGATTCGACAATCCATCTGCGAAATATTTAATTATTTTTGCTTTTAATTTATTTTAGGATGTTGCTGTGGTTTAACCCACATTAATACTAAAACCTTCACTGTCAGAATCCTTTTAGAAATCTCATTTCCTGCTTATTCGTGACATAGAGCTATTCAAACTACTTGTATTTACATATCCAAAGCTGAGATATCACGATTAAGATGATAAAATTACTCAAGTAAATGGTGACATAAATTACCAATGAAATGATGTGGGTATAATGCAAATGTATCTATAAAGTGAAAGACAGATTGACTATTATTTGCTATGAATATTTCATTAAGTCTGTTTTATAGAGTTAATGTAAAATCTACATATAAATGGGCAAAGATAAATCTGTTCATTACCCTTTTTGTTTTCTTTTTGTGAACTGACTTTTTTTTCTTTAGTGCTATTAATAAAAAAATACAACATCATTGGAAACAGTAAGTAGCATATAAGTAAGTTTTAATCAAATTGTCAATTATGATCATGGTGAAATTTTGAGTACTGGGCGAACGCCAGTAGATTTTAAATGTATATAAAAACAATTGCGTCATTTGGATAAGCAACTACGAGTATAATATATAAGAATTTAGATGTTATTAATCAAAATAAAATAATAAATTAATATGTTGGGACTTGGGACATTAACACACAGCACCATCTAGTTCCATGGTAAGCTACGAGCCTTGTATTATGGACATCAGTATAACTTTAATTACATACATATTATATAAACACCCATGACTGAAGTACAAACATTCATGCGCATCACACAAATAAATGCCCCCAGCGAGACTCGAACCCGTGACCGCTAGCACAGCAAGTAGGGTCACTACAAACTAAGCCAAACATGTGGCTAATTGAAAAGAAAGGATGTTTGTAAATGTTTTACATTTTGAATCATCTGTATTTTTTTTGGATATGATGTAACACGTTATCTTGGCAAATAGTCAACCAATTTTCTGTTTTCATAATCCTTTTTTTAATCAATAGGCCAAGGGTATATAAATTCCAAACCTTTATATTAAAATATTATCATTATTTAAAAAAAAAATTCATACAGAGAAGAATTTTATATTTCGCTTCAGGCACAAATAGGTTATTTATGAAAGTAATCGTCCTTCACGACATCATTTTGATGTACACAACAATATGTTTAATTATAACTTTTGCGCAAGTTTAATAAAACTTCAAAAAGCACTCAGAACTTGGAGCCAACAACTGAAACTTGGAGTTAATTTTTACATTGTATAAAAATTATAAGATGACACAGATTTACCTACGGCTAAGTGGACTGTTACAGTATAGTTCACAATATTTGAACCGACAGTCGTGCAAATTTTTCCCTTCTTCTTCTTCGTCGTGTACTTCATTGCTGAAGGTCGTGCTTGTCCTGGAATGTTTGCACCGATTTGTTGACTATCTTTCTCCACACCACTCTATCCTCGGCTTGTCTCAGGGCAGTCGGAATATTGAGTCCCGTTATATTTGAAATCTGGTCGGACCAGCGGGTAGGTGCTCGACCGCGTGATCTTTTGCCCTCAATCTTCCCTACTACAACCAGTTTATCCAGATTGTCTGGTTGTCTCCGGGTGATGTGACCAAAGTAACTTAGGACTCGTTGGTAGCATATAGTGGATAGTCTGGCAGTAATCTTCAGTTGGTCGAGAATAGACCTGTTGGTTCTTTTTGCTGTCCACGGTATACGCAACATTCTTCTGTAACACCACATTTCAAAAGTCTCGATCTTCTTTCGGTCAGCTGCACGGATTGACCATGATTCGGAACCGTACAGAAATATGGAGAACACCAAAGCTCGCACGAGTCTGGTCTTGGTGGTATTCGACACTTTCCTGTTTTGCCAGATTCTGGTTAACTTACTCATAGCTGCCTTGGCCATCTGCGTACGTCTCCGAATTTCTTTGTCACAGCCTCCCTGATTGCTTATAAGTGATCCCAGGTACACAAACTCATCTACAAATTCCAGGTCCGCCAGTTCTCCGGTTCGTGCAAAAGTTCCAGCTCGATCTACTACCATGATTTTCGTTTTTTTCTTATTAATGGAAAGACCGACCATCTCACTTGCACGCTCGACTCTTCTAAGTAGTTCAGCCATTTCCTGTTCTGAAGAAGCCAATAGCGTAGTGTCATCGGCGTATCGGAGGTTACTGATCTTGTTGCCTCCAACGGAAATGCCTCCATCCCACTCATCTAGCGCTGTCCTTATGATATACTCGCCGTAGATGTTAAAAAGAAGAGGGGATATGATGCATCCCTGTCGTACTCCTTTTTGTGGTTTGAAAGGAGCGGATACCACGTCGTTCACTTTTACCATTGACTTCCCATTCTCATATAGGTTTGCGAGCAGTGCTATTAAATGCTTAGGAACACCCATTTCTAGGAGGATTCTCCATAGACAATCCCACCTCACGCAATCAAACGCCTTGGAGTAATCAAAAAACACATAATTATCGGAACATTAAATTCCCGGCTCTTCTCTATGAGTTGTCTAATGTTGACAATTTGCTCCCGAGTTCCACGGCCCTTGACAAAGCCAGCCTGCTCATTAGGTATTTGCCGCTGTAGGTAGGGTTGTAAGCGTCCATTAATTATGTGAAGCATGATCTTACTACCATGTGATATGAGGGCCACTGTTCGATAGTTTTCGCAAATCTTTGTCGAGCCTTTCTTGTGCAGTGGTATCAAAAGTGACTCCGTCCAGTCCTTGGGCCATTTTCCCGAGCTCCAGATCTGATTACACAGGTCCTTAAAGATCTTGACACCTGTGTCTCCTAAGTTTTTCAGTTCTTCAGCGAATATACTGTCTCTTCCGGCTGATTTATTTGTTTTAATTTTTCTAAGAGCTTCCCTGACTTCAGATTCCAGTATTTCAGGCTCTAGGTTTTCGTCCATGCTGAATGGTTCAGAGGATCCCCTGTCGTCCTTGTACAGGCTTTGGCAATATGACCGCCATCTTTCTGTAACCTGGTCAATCTCCGTCAGTAGTGTACCCTTACTATCTTGGATCGCCCAAGTTTTGGGTCTAAACTCTCGTGTGATGCTTTTCACTCATAGAAACAGGTCTTTGGTGTGCAGAGTCCTAGCATGGTCCTCAATATCTTCACATATCGAGTTCAGATATTGGTTGTAGTCTCTACGGCATAAGCATTGAACCCGCGCTGATATGGTGTTATACTGAGCTTTCTCAGAGTCCCTTCTGGTTAGGAGGTCTTTTCTTTCATTAATCGCCTTCCACGTTTCTTCTGATATCCACGCCTTTCTTGAACTACAATAGTTTTGCTGTTGGATGTCTTTTCGTGTGTCGAGAATAATGTCCTTTATTGTAGTCCACTTCATATCTATGTCGATGCTGTTATCTGACTTTAGGTGTGTGACTTTGTTGTTAAAGACTTCTTCATAGGTGTTAAGTGTTTCTGGAGAAGGTCGACCATGATTTTTGACTAGGCTTCTCACGCATTTCTTGAGCTTTACTTTCATGACTGCCACCAATAATTTGTGATCGCTTCCGCAGTCAGCTCCGGGGTACGTTTTTGTATTAATTATACTGGACCTCCATCGCTTTGCAATAGCAATATAGTCAATTTGGTTTCTGGCACGCTCACCTGGCATAGCCCAAGTATATAGCCGTCGTGGGTGGTTCTGGAAACAAGTATTCATGATAGACAGAGAGTTTTCCGCGCAAAATTGGAGCCACATCTCACCTCTATCATTTCTATCTCCGAGACCATATTTCCCAACAACTTCTCTTAGATGATCTTCCTGTCTTGTTGATCCTACTTTTGCATTAAGATCTCCCATCAAAAGTGTAATCTCCCTTCTGGGTAGGTTATTAAGGGTGTCCTCCAACATTCTGTAGAAGTCCTGAATCTCTTCTTCTGTTGAACCCGATGTTGGGGCATATACAACCACCAGATTTAGACGACATGGTTTTGTGTTAACTTTCATGGTGATTATCCGATCACTCACTGGGTGGTATCCCAGCACAGATTGATTGATGTAAGGTGAATTTTTCCCTTAGTATCTTGCATTTTTTATGAAAACATGATTTAAATTAAATAACCAATGAATTAATATTTATGTCTTAAAAGTTATATAGTTTCCACCTAACAAAAAAATAAAATAAAGTAACATCTTGTTTAGAAGTAACAATTGAAAAGTTCACCTTAGTAAGTTTTACTACCTTAGTAAATTACCGTCAGATTAGCTCAATGGTATTAATTGTATTACCATTCACATTTTTCATGCAAAGCTTCACATCAATACGACATACTTAACATTTGTCATCATCGCCACCATTTCAACCGAAATCATCTAACCATGACTCCCCTAAAAATCCACAACAGACGGTAAAAAGAAGACCAGCCTCCCCAATGTGCGTTTACCATACTGTTGCTCACTAATATCCGGGAATCTAGCCGGGTGCGAAGCCAAGAAACCCACTGAGAGGGAGGTTCCGTTAGATTTTAGTGGGTAGTACTGACGTTGCAAGTAAAAAGAAGAACACTAGGTTAAAACATCTAATACTGTTTTATAACAAATCTTCAAATATCTTATCAATGATGTATTACTTTAGAATTCAGATTACTAAGTACACATTTCAGCGGCGTTACAAAGTTTGATGGCTATGATTACATTAACGATGATATCATTGAGTCAATTGAGTAGCATGTTTATATTACGACACCGCCAAATAGGTTCTAATTCGATTTAAACTTCCTAGTAGGATTTAGTTTGCAGTTTTCGTAGCTTTAAAACCTACCTCTATTTAAATATCAATAAGCTGACTCATCAAAACTGTTTAGGGATCTTATATTATGTTCTTTAGAATTGCCATAAAAACCAATCAATTGCCAAAAAAAAAGATCAATCAAGCTTTAAAAAAGTTTAAAGACCCCATTGCCATTCGTCATCAGTATATGCATTCGAGAGATATAATGCCACAGACAGATAATATAAGCGTCAAATACCATCCCTCTTTTTTATTGGAAGATATAAATGTAAAGTAATGAATGTTAATTTATGTAGAAAAAGCTTTAATATTTAATTCCATTTGTCAAGTCTAAAACAATAAAATTACAAATGGGCAAAAAGCAAGCAGCACTTCTTGGTGCAAACTATAAAGTTTCGTTTGACATTAAGTGAACGGCTTGCTCAAAACTTTCTCCAGAGCTGACTTTTATAAGGAACGTGAAATATCACTGGCAAGTTCCAATCGAAGTTTACGGTCCTTAATATGTTGTAAATTCAGTGCGCAGTAAAATAGCTTGACTGAATTATTTGGACACTTCAGAAAAGCTTTCTAGAGTTTCTATTGTAGTTTTATAAATTATTTAAAAAAAAAATATTTAAAGAACTAAACTTTGGTCTTAAACAGAAGCTCACGAAATTTATTTTGTAAAAAAACCCATCTATACATAACATTAAAACGAATCCAAGTATTTAATTCTGACTTAGACGTTTTTGGGATGTAATATAAATCTAGTTTATTTGAATTTCTTATCTACCTACTTAAGCGTTAATCCAGAGAGATTGAAAATGTCTTGTAAAATATAAAACATCTTCAATACAGAATCAAACCCATGATATTCCAAGTAAAGAAGTCTCACATTGATCCCAAATTTATAGCAAATGATAATAACAAATACTCTACATCACATAGACCTTGTTCTAACGACACTCCTAATGCGGCGTAATGAGTGTCCGTGAACTCGGGCCTTCAACTTGACGACTGTTTCATGTGAAACGTAAGTAACTTTTAGCTTTGCAATTAAAACTATTGCGGCATAAGCTATTCGCTTTTAGTATATTTGCTTGAGTCATAAAATATAGAGATATTAGTATTAGTAGAGAAACATATTGCTTAGAAAACTTTTAACTCCGTTAATTTCAAGATCGAACATCATTATCGGCTAAAATGAATAAAATATCATTCGGTGTACCTTTTGTCACAGTTACGCGAAATTAATTATAATAATAAATGCGTAAATAAATTGTCTTCTCTACTAGCGTAGTATATTGATGCCTATTGCCTAAGGCTCGTAGTACATAATGCGATGTTAGATAGCCGATAACCTCACTTAACAAATCTATATGTAATAAAGTTCTAAGTCGAAAATGTACATTAAATATTTTTTGGAAATTTTTATTGAAATAGTGATTATTGTCGATACAGATGCTGAATCTATAGTTTTTAGAATTATTGTGTCCGTCAGTCTGGGATCGCATCACGAGAAAGCCACTGGACAGTTTTGAATGAAATTTGGTTTGATCATACCTGGTTAACATAAAGGATACTTTTAGTGCGGGAAAGTATCTCTACTCTGAGAAATATATATCCTAAACGTTAAAACGGGACTCGATCGAAGCGAGGATAAGTCGCTAGTAAATTATAAAATTAAAAAAAAATATTTAAAATGTGGCTGTTAATTCTATAGATTAGCGCATTCAGACAAATAAAAAACCGAAAGAACTCTATATCTTTATAATTTTAGCATCGATTTATTCCTCTCAACACCTCAGCCTTAATATAATTTGATACGCACGTAGCCTGTGTCATGGAAGCATCAAAAATGTGATACCGGTCCATTAAATACTTTCTCTGGGATAACCTAATAAGCGTTATTACACGAGTTGTTAAAATATACACTCAAATACTATGTGACTTTTGATGTTTGAACTTGATATTCATCTATACATATAATAAAATTGTAACGAAGCCGAATCTGTACATTAGATATTTTTTGGAAAATCTTTTTAAAATAGACATTATTATCGATACAGAGGCAGAATCTAAAGTTTTTAGATTTTTTGTCTGTCTTTCTGTCTTCTGCTTACTTCCAGAAAACTACTGGAAGTTTTGATGAAATTTGTCTGTTACCGCATCACGGAAAAACCACTGGAGGGATTTTAATGAAATTCAGTAGTCAGTCGTCAGTCAGTCAACATATAGGATACTTTTTACCGCTGGAAAATATCTAATTTTTGAGAAAAAATACAAAAACTGCAGTGTAAGAGTATACTAATATATAAAACCTAAGAATTTGGTTATTGGTCATCTGAACGCGGGCGGAGCCGCGGGAAATGCTAGTTAGCAATAAAACACAGATTGTCTTACCTTTTTATATATATATTTTTAATTGAGAGTTTATGGACTGACATGTGCTATAAGACTTATTATCTCGGTACATTAATTAATTCCTTATTCTCCGAAAAAACTGAAAAGAATACAGTATGTGGGGTACAGTAAGGGTCAGGCCCCTAAACAAAACAAGTTTGGGTCACTTGCTATTGTAACAGAAAGTACCATAGTATTGAATGTACATTGAAACCTTTCATATAAATATATTTTTACACCAAGAATATACCCTGTGAATAGCCTACCGATAGATTGGAAGCAAAAGCTTTCGCTTCGGTTTACTTATGTAGATTTTTTGAGCTACCTCACTTGTGAGTTTGAAAGGGTTTATGAAAATAAATAAATAGAAGGAACAGTTTAACCCTTATAAGATAAGCAGTGAGTGAGCAAAAACAGAAGATTAAACATCAATTACCACATCTTTAACATCAAAAATTACCTTTAAGGACGAAATTTTCTATATATCTGTTCATACTCCTTCTAGTACAAGAAACTGTTTTGCAACATTTTTGTGTCTGTGTTTAGTAGTCAGGTGTACGTTACGCTATGTGTATAATTGAACCAGAAAATTTATTTAAGATTTTTATAAAGTGGATAGGATAAGTTACGTTATGACACGCTCTGGCAAAGTTTTGCCAAAAGGAAGTCTAATCGAGTTAAGACTTAATCGATTATATCTTCGAGTAATCCAAATAGGCCCGCAGCTGTTGGGACTTTAATCGGGATATGTGTAATTTATTTCATTACACATTGGTGTTGCCTTATTGATAATATTGTTTATACATATTATGTGAAATAACATTGAAGATACAAGGCTGATCATAAAGCTTCAAAATATGTATTTTTTTAAGTTTTTCTTCGAAGTCTAGCAACATACAGTATTTTTTGTAAATATGTTTGAATATTTGTTATTCAATGATGAGTAAACCATTAAACATACATATTTAGATGATACTCGGCAATAGGTGATAATACTCTAATTTTGCTCTAAAGCCATATTAAGGTACTTCATACGCCACTAATGGGCACAAGAACCCCTTCATTGCGAGGGGGATCAGGCCCTAGTCAGTAGTCCACGACGCTGGCCAAGAGCGGGTTGGCGGACCTAAAGTATCTTTTGAAAACTTGCTAAGTTCTCTCAGATTTGGAGATTTCCTCACGATGTTTCGTTAGCCATAAGACAAGCGTGACTTGATATATTAATTATGTTATATAGATAGGTGCTTTAACTTCACGGAAGATTATTACAAAACAATAAAACTTAAAACCAAAACGAGAAATGACACGAAATGGAGTTCATAGATAAGAAAAAATAATGCAGATCGATTTAAAACATCAGACA